TCCATAGGGCACATGATGTTGAGTTAGACTTGCCTCAGAAGCAATGATAGATTTGGATCTGGATGGAATAAATGGTGATGTATCAGAATGGCTCCCTGTGTGAAGGGAGTGACACGAGGAATACAGTCGTGCTGTGGTAGGTGCTGACATTGTGTGTGTGTAAGTAGGCAGGGAAGGATGTAGACAGATGGTGTGTGGTCAATGCGGTGGACAGTCATGGATCTTTACTGGCATACTTATTTGTTCATATATTTTGGCTGTGTATCATTTAAACCCTCTTCCTGTAAGTGGGGCTGCATTTTGCTGTAGAAACAATACCAGATGCTTTCCCATTCCCTCCAGCAAATGTGGAACATGAACATGGGATCTAGACTTGACCAATAAGATATATCAACTTAGACTTTGGGTCAGAAACAAGGGCAACAAAAGGCACATGTAAGAGAGGATGATTCAGAGGATGGCCATGACAGGATTAACAACACAGAGATTTGAAAGGCAGGGTGACAGCATCCTGCAGTGTGTTAAAGGATTCATGCCTGGGGTGGTGGTAAGCTGTTGTGGACTGGAGCCCTCCTTGGAGACATCAGTGGACATGACCACATATTCATTAGCAGGATTTTACAATAATTCTGCCTGGCTTTCCAGTTTCTTGTTCCTGTTCCTTTTCCAACTTTGATTCTTTGGCTTTCTAAGTGTTGGTTACATGAGTGCCTTTGTGAGGGGAGAATGTGTTTCAACTGAAATATAAATTTTTGTTTAGCTTGTTTTTTTACTTAAAATTACAATGTTGACATCCCTACAGGTCAGTAGAGCAAGATCCAATTCTTTCATATTCTGGTTGTTATAAATACAATAATGTAATGAGACTATATAATATATGTTATATTATTATTCTCATCTTTATAAAATTTTTGTTTGTTTTTCACACCACCACTTCTCAACTCCAGATTAATAACCTCATTTATATCTTCTACTCCTTTCTCTATGTCCCTGTAATATACAGTTTGTGTTGATTTGCTTTACACAAATGAGACAATGTTAACCATATTTCTGTGCATCATGTTCCCTCCCCCATTGAAAATATCCCATGAAAGCCCCCCAGAGTTAACTGGTGTGGTTGTAATTCAATTTTTCAGCAGCTGCTTAAGATTTCATGATGTAACAACACCAGGATTTATTCTTTCTAGCATTTTTCACTTGGTTCAGTTGTTTTTCCACTAGAAACCATGTATCAACACACATGTTTGAATGAAGACAGTATATCCTGGTGCTTTTATAATCACAAATAGATTCCTGGAGCAGAATTACTGGAATTAAGAGTGTACATAATCTTAAATTCAATAACTCCTGTCATATTGCTTTCCTAAAGAAGGCACTGTAACTATACAGATTTGTACCAACACTATGCGGGATGAATTTTCTCTTTCATCCAAGCCAGCAATATTAATATTAATAACTTGAATTAATTATCTTAATTTGTAAAATTCCTGACAAACCAATGAGAAGACTATTACCTCAAAACAAAGAAATCAATACAGTTCATGAAAAGCTTGTTTACAAATCAAGAACTACTTAAATATATTAAGTGTTTACACATGCTTATAAGAGCATAAAAGTTATGACAGCATTGCAATCTATTATGTATACAGCTGGGAAATAATTATGTATACTTAGGTATTTCCTTCAGCAAAGAAACTCTAAACAATAAAAAAAGTTTGGAAATTTAGATGTTTTAAACACAGCTTAAAAAGATGGTGGAAGAGAGTTGCATTGAGATGGAGAGTGGGGACAGGTGGTGACTGTTTCTGAATCCTGGACAATTTTAAGTTGAGAGACAGCAGTTGTGTGTTTATGTGCATCACTATTGCGGGAAAAGGGTAACTGGGTCCTCCTTTCTTCCTCTTAGGTATAAATACTAGTTTCAGAAAGACATGAACTCCTCTCAGGAGGGTTTAAAAAGCAAACACAGTGGGAAATATATGTATGATTATTAAAAACCTTTCATTAGTTTCTTCTTGTTTTTCTGCTCATCAAGGAACCTATAGACCCAAGAGGAATCTATGCCCTGAGACACTAAATCAAGTTAATTTCCTACCCATAGAGCCATGTTTCCATTCCCTGAACTTCAAATAGTTGGGTCCTTGGATAGAAATGAACCACTCTCACCAAAGAATCACTGTTTTTTTAGTAATAACTTGCAAACTACTGCCTCAACATAGATAGTGAAAAATTTGAAGAAAAAAAACAGATGAGTTTTATACTGAAATGAATCATATACTGTAAGGTGAGTTCTTAACATGGTAGATTTCTCTTAGTCTTCCTGCTCTCCCTCTTGAACTTCCACTGAGAGATAAGATGCTTGGGCATTGTTAGCCATCCTTCTACATTGGATTATCCAGTCTCATGTTTTCACTATCTCTATGTCTCTCTGTCTCTCTCCGTCTCCCATCTCTGTCGGTCTGTCTCCTCTCTCTCTTTCTCTCTGTCTCTCTGTCTCTCTCTGCACACACACACACACACACACACACACAATTATTAATTAAAGGCCTACAAATAGGGACCAAATTGCTGCAGCATGGGCAAACAAGTCAAACATTGACACCTCTAATCAATAGTCCTGCCTTAAATCTCAGGCTACTTTGCAATTCCCCTGATGAAAAGGTTCATATTTCACCTAATCTGAATATGAAGATATCCTGGGTATGAGATCCTGCTGGTAAAGTAGAAATTTCAGATACTTTTGTACTATTTTTTTAATTCTGATATCCATACAGGTGATTACGATAATTCTGTCTCTGTTATTCTCCCTTTGAAAAATATACCTTAAGATTTTTTTGTATATTTGTTTGTATAATTGACACACAATGTTACATTAGTTCCAGTGTACAACATAGTGACTCAACTTCTCTGTACTTTATGCCCCTCTCACCGCAAGTGCATCTACCATCCGTCACTATACAACACTGTGACAATACCATCGACTGTAGTTCCTATGCTGTGCCTTCATGCCCATGGCTTATTCATTCCATACCTTGAAGCCTGAACCTCCCACTCCCCTTTACCCATGAAAATTACAGCTTAGATGTAGCTTAAGCCACATTGTCTGGACACAGGATACATTTTGTCTAAGCTTTGCTGAGAACAGAGATCCTGGCTTCTCCCATATTGTGGAGCCGGTTTCAATAGTCTTCCCTCAAAGAATAATTAATAACGATCATGAACTCAAGACTAATTTGGATTAAATAAAAAACTTCAATTCTGTCTCACTTTTCATTGTACAGAAGCCCAACTTTTCTTGACATCAAGCTGGTGACATCCTTTCCTCTAATGTTGGTTCTGTTCTTCCTGTCTCAGGTAGTAGGTCTTAAATAAGAGCCATACACTTGAGGGAGATGTCTTCTCTTATAAGGGCATTGTCTGAATTTATGAGTATGAGTGAAAGATGGAGGGAGGGATATTATCTCTAACAAAGCCAAATTAGCCTAAATATCTAGATATTTAGGATAGAAGGATATATGTTAGAAAACTGCCAGTGGATTCTGTTTGGGAGAACAGGTATGACTTTTATGTTCTTAGAGCCTCATAAAATCCATTATGTAAGCTTACATATGTAAGTCTAGTGTAAGAGAAGCATGGAGACAGCAGTGTACAAGGCTGGTATTCTGAATGATATGGGAGATAACTGGTCTCATATCATAGAGGTGAGATTCTCACCTTCTCTGAGGGAACTCCCATTATAAGCAGGTGGTGGTTGTAGTGAGACACCAGTCCCAATACCAGCGATGAAACCTTCCTCAAAGATCTAGCTTTGAAACTGAGAAGTCTCTACAACACAAAGAGAATTTATTCCTCCACCCATTCCCCCTCTCTGTGGATAGATAGTTAGATAGATGGTAGATAGATGATAGATAGATAGATAGATAGATAGATTAGATAGATAGGCAATTCTGTATCACAAGATAACAATTTTGTATGATTCATTATCATTTCTTGTGAAGTTCTCAACTGTCAGACACTTTACTATGGACTTCACAACTATTACCTTATTTAGTAGTTAGTTCTAGCTGGTATTACTACTACCAAGTTACATATGAGGACCCCAGAGAATTATTCAGGTACTGAGGACTTTTGGTGTGCAGCCCTATCAGTAATTAAATTCTTGGTTCTTTAAGTCACCCCATAAACTCTGGAGAGAGAATAGGATTCCAAAAGCACCCCCCGCCCCGATTGCTGCCCCGCTGGTGTACACTCCTTGCTGAATCGCCTCCCCTTGAGTGTGGGTGAGACTTGTGACTGTGATGGGATATCTCCTTTGATGCATTCGGTTACATCAACTTTGTCACAGCGAACTGGGGACAGATTCTCCTATTGGCTTTAAAAAAGTAAGCTGCCATGTTATCAGAGGTGGTTAGGACCTGAGGGTGGGCTCTAAAGCTGAGAGGGATGATCCCTGCTAACAGCCACCAAGAAAGACGGACACCTCAGTCCTGCAAGGAACTGAATTTTGCCAACAATCTCCATAGGCTTGGAAGAGAAACCCAAGCCTCAGATGAGATTCCAGACTGAGCTGATGTCTTGATACCAACCTTAAGCCAAACACCCAGCTCACCTGACTCAAACACTGTAAGAATGGAAATTTGCATTGTTTTATGCTGCTAAGTCTGTGGTCATTTATGATATATAACTAGAGATTTATTAATACAATGGATTTCTAGGACTTTCTCCTACATATATCTGGGTGTTCCTCTATTTGTGCATGCATGTGTTTCTGTGTGGGCATGAGAGAGAGAGAAAGAGAGAGAGAGGAACAAAGAAGAAGATGATGAAATCATTCTATCATCTTTACCAAATAAGTTTCATAACAAGCAAAATTGAGTTTAACTCTAGAATTATCTACCATGAATGATGCAGTTGCCACATGAAAATGGTGTTCAGTTTTCAATTAACTACTGGGTGCTCTCTCTATTCCCACAGAGAGAGACACATGAAACTCGTGGAAAATGACAAACGTGAGCCTCGTCACAACGTTCTTTCTCATGGGGCTTCCCCATGCACCAGCACTGGACATCCCCCTCTTGGGAATCTTCTTGGTGATTTATGTACTCACTGTGGTGGGGAACCTCCTCACCTTGCTGGTGATCAAGGTGGATTCCCACCTCCACACCCCCATGTACTACTTCCTGACCAACCTGTCCTTCATTGACATGTGGTTCTCCACGGTCACCATGCCCAAAATGCTGATAACCTTGGTGTCCCCAGGAGGCAGGGCGATCTCCTTTCACAGCTGTGTGGCCCAGCTCTACTCCTTCCACTTTCTGGGGAGCACCGAGTGTTTCCTCTACACAGTCATGTCCTATGACCGCTACCTGGCCATCAGTCACCCGCTCAGGTATGCCAGCATGATGAGAGGGAGGAGTGTGCCCTCCTGGCCACCAGCACGTGGCTCAGTGGCTGTCTGCACTCTGCTGTCCAGACCACACTGACATTCCATTTGCCCTACTGTGGACCCAGCCAGATCCAGCATTACTTCCGTGATGCCCCTCCCATCCTCAAGCTGACCTGTGCGGACACCTCCATGAACGAGATGGTGATCTTTGTCAACATTGGGGTTGTAGCCTCGGGCTGCTTTCTCCTGATAGTGCTGTCCTATATGTCCATCACCTGTTCCATCCTGAAGATCCGCACCTGAGAGGGGAGACACAGAGCCTTTCAGACCTGTGCTTCCCACTGCATTGCGGTCCTTTGTTTCTTTGTTCCCTGTGTTCTCATTTACCTGAGGCCAGGCTCCCGGGATGCTGTGGATGGGGTTGTGGCAGTTTTCTACACGGTGCTGACACCCCTTCTAAACCCTGTGGTGTACACCCTGAGGAACAAGGAAGTGAAGAAAGCTCTGTGGAAGCTTATAGACATAGTAACATATTCCCGGAGCAAATAAACACTAGAAAGTAGATATGCTCATTTTTCTAAAAAAAACACTAATATAACTTACGCATCAACATGCAACATATTACATGTGTGTTTCTCAGTGTTAAATGTTTTCCAAAACCATCCACTCAGAAATATTTGTTTCATGGATTTTCTGAGGAATTTTTAAAATCGGAATTAAATTTTATTGATGATGAGCTTGCTTAAATTTTGGTCTATCAAATTTTTCTCTGTGTTTTTTTTTATTTTTTTGTTCCATTTTACTGAGCTACAGTTCACATATAACATTGTTTTGCTTTCTTAAAAATTATGTATTGTGCTTGGAACTCAGACACAAGGGTTGTTTTATTCATATACCTAAGTTTATAATATGCTTTTTAAAATTTTTTCCTGAAGGCTTATGTACACAACTTGGGAGTTACACTCTTGGGCATAGTGTCCAAGGACAGCCTCAAATATCAGAGTCACTTACTCATGGTTACAGCTGTGTGACTGCCTTCTCAGTCTGTTAGTGGCTGTGTGTGTGTGGGTCCCAGTGTGACCACTCCTCTTTCTGGCATATTGTGACCATGTTAATTGCTCCAACATTGAAAGGGTTCTTTTTTTTTTTTTTTTTAAGATTTTATTTATCTATTTGAGAGAGAGAGAGAGAGAGACCAAGTTGTGGGAGGAAGAGCAGAGGGAGAGGGAGAAGCAGGCTCCCCGCTGAGCAGGGAGCCCAATGTGAGGCTCAATCCCAGGACCCTGGGATCATTACCTGAGCCGAAGGCAGACGTTTAACTGACTGAGCCAGCCAGGCACCTCTGAAAGAGTTCTCTAAGCTCTGAGGAGCTCCTTAATTCTCTCGGTGGGTCTGCCAGGATGGGCTGTGGAGCTGACATGCTCCTCTCAGGAACTGACAATCGCCTCCTTGCCAGAGCCCTGCTGTTTCCCAGGCTGGGTGAGGCAGAGCAGGAAGAAGGTAAGGACAGGAACCACTAGTCTCCATCACATATTCTGACCTTGATTTCCAGAGCTACCTGACCAGATGTCCACAGTAAGCACCGAACCATTTGACACTGGATTCTTTTACCACAGCTGGTGGTGGCTGGTCATCTGCCCAAGGAACTCTTGCATCTACCGTCTTAGGGTCTTGGAAATCTAGCTGCACCAAACTATAAGCTGCTTTGGAACCAGAACACCCCACACTGCAGGCTGGGGCCAATGATGTTTCCTATGTAGAAGGTAGAAAAATGAAAATATCTTTAAGTAACTTGTTCATGGGACTTCAACATTTCTTTTATAAATCAGAAAAAAAGTCTAAAGAGGACAAAAGACCCTGAAAATACCCATTTAATAGCTACATGGCCCATACTTGTGGGCATCCACAGAGAATGGATGAAATGCTATACTTGCACCCAAACAAAAACAAATTTGGCTCAAATAACTTTGGAAATAATTTTATGCTCTTTACTTCAATTTTCCATCTCAGAAATGACCCTCTCTCAAAATACTGTTATGAGGATTAAATGATTGTTTATAAGTGGTTTGAGTGATACTGATTCATAATAAATTCTTTTTTAAAGATTTAATTTATTCATTCAGAGAGAGAGAGGGTGAGAGAGCATGAGCGGGATGGGGAGGAGCAGAGGGAGAGGGAGAAACAGGCTCCTCACTGAGCCGGGAGCCCAACATGGGGCTCCATCCCAGGACTCCAAGACCATGACCAGAGCCAACGGCAGACACTTAAAGTACTGAGCCACCCAGGCAGTAAATTCTCAAAGATCTAAAGTTCAAATCTGGGGCCACCAGTCAGACAGCCTGATTCTCAGAATCATTCTCTTCATAAATTCTGTCTATGATCCCAGACACCAAAATAGTATTTTTTTTTAAGATTTTATTTATTTGACAGAGAGAGACACAGCGAGAGAGGGAACACAAGCAGGGGAAGTGAAGAAGGAGAAGCAGGCTTCCCGCTGAGCAGAGAGCCCAATGCAGGGCTCGATCCCAGGACTCTGGGATCATGAACTGAGCCAAAGGCAGACACTTAACGACTGAGCCACCCAGGGGCCCCAAAAATAGTGTTTTTGAAAATACATGAATCTTGCTTCCTTAAATCACCTTACAGATAATAAATTTAATCTAGCTAATTATGGACAATGTGATCATTCTGATTCATTAGTTATTTTAATAAATTTGCTACCCCTATATTTACTAGTTTTTAAGGAATTTATAGGAAAGTATCTGAAATATTAAAATTATAATGAATTAAGTTATTCTAGAATAATTCAGAAGCAAACACAGTAACATTATTGAGCTTGGGATATGCTAGACACTTTATAAGTTTATCATTACAAGAACCCTACAAGATAGGTTCTCCTACTATAAAAAATGAGAAAACGAAGGCCGGTTAGATAGCTTGATAAAGTCACACACTAGTAAGGAATATGGTCAAGGTTTAATTTCAGGCTATCTGGCACCAAAGCCCATGGTGTTAAATTCTACTGTATTATTATGATCACTAATTTCAGAAACTTTCCATTTTGGGGGGAGCAGAGCAATATCAATTAACATCAGTAATTATTGGAATAACAAAACACAGATCTTTGAATAGTTATGTGTATTTTATAACAGAAATGTAGGGTTTTGTTAGAAACTACATTTTCCCCCGTAGACTATGAAAAGCACATGATCTACTCTACCTCCACAGAAGTGAGATTGCAAATGTGTCATCCCGTGGTATGGGGATGTTTCCTTATGTGTTCCACATGAAGCTGTGGATTCCTCCGGGAAAAATACTGTCATAGTCCCATAGTGTCCACCGACATCAATCTTGGTGTGATTTCTTTAGAATATTCTCCCTGCTACAGACCCTTTCTATTTCCATACATTTACTTTTTGAGGCACCCGACTTCTGATCCACACTCATAATATTAGGTATCATTCCTAAACAGATGCCACCCCTTTCCCTCCATGCTGTTCCTATTTCTAAGTTCAAGTCCCTGATAACTTGTTTCTTTGGTATTTCCATTTGGAGATCACATCAAACTTCCTATGTCTACACCAAAACCTTTTTTCCTTCTTCCTCAACATTTGTTTCTCTGTGGTATGATCGGCACAACAAAAGTAACCCTGAAACTTGGAAGTTCTTCCCATTGTCTCTGCTCACACATTTCTTCTTCATGCAATTGGAAAAGGGGTAAAAGAAGAAATAGAGAAAGAGGACAGAGGTAGGATGGCATGAAGAAATTCCAGAAAATAAAGAAGAATGTTGGATAATTTTAATACTTCAATAATGAATCCTTTACATTATCAAATAATAATTGGGACACCTTATTTTGTAAATACTTCATTGAGTTGTTAGTATGCTCCAAGAGCTATTAGTACTGTTTTCAAAAGGGGAAAATAAAAAAGAATAAAATACTGGAGAATTGATGTTTGCATTCCACATGGGGAACAATGAAATCTGAGCAAATGTCTCATCACATTGTGCCACATTTTAATGTATTCTCCTGGGTTTCTCCTCAAAATAGCAGCTCTGGAGTATAGAACTTCTCCACTGAAGCTCGTTATTAGTGGTGCTGTTCCCCTTTTAACTTGAATTTTGAAAATATGGCTTGGTCATAGCATGATGTGTCTGATTGATTCCTTGAAGCTAAATTTTCTGAGTTCACTAGTGGTTGAGAACTGTCTATATTATAGAAGTCGTAGCTGAGTTATAAGAGGTAAATAACTAATATAGAAAAAATCAGGCTCAAATCCAGAATGAATGGGGTGACTTTTATAATGATCCCAATGCTGAGGCTTGTTCATTCACTCGTGCTTTCTCAAATAATTAATCAATGCAGTAATTCCTTCAACAATTTAAATTAGGTGACTCCTATATTTAAGCCACAGGGAATACAGGGTATCAAGACAGTATCTGTGTTCCAGAACTCCAGAGTCCAATGGGAAACACCTAAGTAGACAAATGAATCTTACAGTGTCCTAATGTATATATGGGGTGCTACAGTAAACAACATGACATCTAACACAGATTAGGTAGTAGAGTGAATTACCACCTGAAAATAAAGAAAATAACATATCCAGATGACAAACACTTGCTCCAACCACATAACTCATAATAATTAGTACATATAGAGTATGAATAATACAAAGGTGATTTCAGTCTTCGTGTTTTGGAGTCTGCTCCAAATTCACAGAGCTTCTGTTTTCCAGGCCAAAGCATATTGCATGTTGAATCTTTTAGTTCTAACAAGAAGAACATTTGGACACAAGAGACTAAACCCAAGGCTTTTAACATTTCTTTTTATTGTCTGAAAAATCTCTGTATCCAAACCATGCATACATGTTGACCAGGATCTGCCCCCACCCAACCACAAGAAGGCCAGAAGAAGGTGTAATCCTACCATGTCCCTGAGGTAGAGATGAGGAAGTATTAGGTGGGCTGCACTAAGTCTGACTAAGATCTAACTCAAATGTTTGCAATGTGACCCTATTTTTCTCACTGTGGGTAAAATGAAGACAATAGCATATCTCCTCCTCTTTGGTAGAATGGTAGAACTCATTTTCAAAATAAGTATTAGGGTCATATCCTTATTCAAAGTTATCTCTATCAAACTATTTTCAGGGACCTTGTTCTCATGTTTGGATACCCATACTAGCAAAGTGACCAGGGGCATACATATTAGATCAAATAGGCCTTGGTGAAACCCTACAGATTTGGTATCACTCTGTTGTTCCAGTTCACCCACAGTCAGCACAGGCCATGGAAAGCCATGTAGAATTTTGAAATTATTTAAATTTGTGCAACAAGTGTCAGGGGGTCAGATGCCCTAATGCTAGCACTTCAGATTATTAGATAGAAGCAGAAGGCAAGGGCTCTCATGGAGTGAGCTGTTCAGGGGTGAGACTTGGGAGACCTTCTAGTTAGTTCTCCTCCAACGGCTGCCTGCTGGCTGCATATTTACATGTGTGACAATGTGATATGAGAGTATTTGAAATCAGTAACGAAGTGTGACAAACTGTTCA